GGAGTCTGAATTGTTAGTCACAATTATTTTTCTTTCTTTTTTTTATTCCAATTGTGAACGTAAACGTAAAAATATTGCAAAATGTAAACTCAGAATTGCGAGTTTTTATCTCGCAATCCTGAGAAGGAAAGTCTGAATTGTGAAATGTAAACTCACAATTGTGAGTTAAAGTCAGTTGAGAAAAAGTTGCAATTATCATTTTTATTACATGGTGGAAACTAAAAATAGAATTGTGATATGTAAGCTCAGAATTGTGAGATGGAAATATTGGAAATGAGCTTTTTTTTTTTTTTTAGCCCGTGTTTCAGAATGAAAATTTATTTAGTGCTTAAATCAAATGGTGTTAGTTGTATTTCCATAAGTGAAAAAATGAAAAGTACATCCAACCCACTTTACAGAAATGTTACAGAATTGTGATTAAGCGTTAAGTTTAAAACTAAGGAGATCACAATGACAATGCTAATGATTAACCTCTAATAATCATTACCATCTTGCAGTAGGCATATTGGAATAAATCGTAAATGACAGGTCATGCATAGTGCATACTCATTGTTCTAATAATACAATGTCTAACTTCAAATGTTCATCTGAGGTTATTTGTTTGTCATAGACATCTATATATGCTAGCGAACAATAGCACGGTATACAGAAACGAGACAAAAGATTTCTCTTTGCAGTGCTCCTTGAAACATCAGTTTGTTGCTGTGTGATTGAGAAGTTTGTCTTTTAATTAGACCTTTATGCTTTGTGTGAATAAATATATAGAAATAAATGATCATAATATATTGTATGCACAACCGTTATAATTACAAACCATTTTTGCACCTTGGAGATGAGCATGTCCAGAGTACTGCATATTTATTTCTGAGATGTGCTATTTGATTCTAACTCTTGTTCTGAAATCATACATATTATTTGTAATTGCAAAAGGAATATTTTACCAGACTATAAAATGTAATTGTGATTTTTTTTTTTACTTGCTGCTGCATTAGTTGATAAAAATGGAAACACATTTTGGCCACTGTTTGTCTTTTTTATGATGGATTTGCTTTGTCACAGTGCAGGTAAAACATTGCATTATCATCTGATATACTGATTTCTACTGAAAATGTCTAGGAGAAATTAAATGTTCGATAATTAAAAGGAAGTCAAGCTACCGTGGCGCTTTAAAATGAACATGGTTTAGTGGAAATATGTCATTCATGAAATAGGTAGTAGAAAAAGTCAAATGAAATAAATGCTATTTACAATTACATCATGAATGTTTTTTGAAAAAAATCTTAAAATTATAAACCATTTAATAGTACAGTATGAAAATGTTTTATTGATTTATCAGTCGGAACAATGTATTTGTACCCTATGTAACTTATACTGAGGAAATTTTTTCATGAATAATTTTATTTTAAAGGGGTCATATGATGCGATTTCAAGTTTTCCTTTCTCTTTGGAGTTTTACAAGCTCTTGGTGCATAAAGAAGATCTGTAAAGTTGCAAAGACTGAAGTCTCAAATCCAAAGAGATATTCTTTATAAGAGTTAAGAGGAAGCCACACCTACCTAAAACGGCTCGTTCTAACACGCCCCCACATATCTACCTCACTATGTGGGAAGATTTGCATAACACCACCCAAATGTTCACGCAAAGAAAGAAGGCGTAGCTTTTATTCTCGCTGTCGTATTGTTGCCGCTGCCGCCATGTCGTGAAGGTGCTGTGTGCTTCGTTGTGAAAGCGAAACTATTTTGTTTGGTCTTCCAAAAGAGGACGATATCTGCTTCTTCATGCCTAGAGCTGATCCGTGCTGGTCGCTGAGGAAATACATCAACTTAGTGCTGTGGATCGCTGGATCGGCTTTCACCTATGAGGCACCGGGCTGGACAAAAGTGAAGCGAACAGAGAGAGTGACAGTTCGCCAGTGAGGCCGAGTGTGTCCGAGAGAGAGCGAGAGTGCGCAAGAGAAAGCAGACAGGGTTTTATGTATACGCGGCGCGATGCAACGCAACGTGTAAAAAGACAGTACAAGTCATTATAATCAGTAATTATGTTCCCACTGGATGCAACAAATGCCTCGTTTGTAATGGGTTTTAATTTTTTTGTCTCGTCGCTCCGGCTGGGACACGGCATCGCAGTATGGTAAGGGTCGTAACATTTCCGTCACACACTTGAGGTATTCGGCCAATCACAACGCACTGGATAGCTGGCCAATCAGAGCACACCGCACTTTTCAGAACGATGAGCTTTGAAAAAATCAACGGGCGAAAAAAGAAAGGTGGGGCAGAGAGGAGCAACAGTAATGTACGGTATGTGAAAAATAATTTTTTTGAACCTTAAATGGTGTAAACACATTGCATTACACCAAATAATGTTATTTTAGAATCATCATATGACCCCTTTACCTTTTAAAACTTTTTTGTTCCACTGCCAAGCATGTGCGAAAGGTGCCTAAAAGACTGCTTTACTAGTGTAAAGCTAGACAGACATATTTGACCTTTGTGTTGGCATTTTTTAAGGGTCTCACAAATTTAACCGGGTTAGTCCATATTTGACCCAAAGTTGGGTTGAAACAACCCAGCATTTTTTAGAGTATCGTTTCAGCAGTTCAGCAGCAAATGAACGTTTCTACATTACGTTTTCAGCAATGTTCAGAAAGTTCTATTAATTCAGTTGCTTTTTTTTAACCCTGTTTTAACATGGGTTTCTAAAGAGGCCAGAGCAGGACAGCATACAATCGGAAGTTTGAAACCATCATGGCAACACTCATCATTTAGGCTACTCGAGGAAAAGTTTCTAATACAAACACAATGTAGGCTATATCACGTGACTTGCTTGCCTGTCCTCTTCCCTAACCTTGAATACCCCAGCTAGCATACACACATCTCAAAGATGTCTTTTAAAGAGCGTGTCTTCTAGAAAGCATCTGATAATTAGGCTAACTTTAAAAAGTCAGTTTTACATACTTTTTAAATCCTAGGTCTTCAACCCTACTCCTGGGGGACCCACTGTCCTGAAAATTGTATTTCCAACCTGCTTCAGCTCACCTGGGGCCTCATTTATAACCGTTGCGTAAAGGTGGGATTTATAAAAAACAAACTTGACGGGAAAATTTGCACACCTGCACGCAAACTCTGACCCATGCGTACGGATTTTTTTTCCTGGAGAGAGAAAAATAATGACGTAAACAACGATTTGAAACTGTTTTCATTTCATCATATGCATTTACATTAAATATTCCACTCTCATTAATGGAGATAAGCACTGAAATTATATAAAGTCATTATGCAGAAGTTAAAGCTGCAGTCCATAACTTTTTTGGTTAAAAATTATCCGAAATCAATATTTGAGCAAGTACATAACCAGCCAGTGTTCAAAACTCTCACCTTACTTTAGCCCGATTCACAAGGATTAGTTTATAATAATGTTTTCTAATTTGATTGGTACGGGTAGGTTTTCGCGGGAAATTCGAGCATGGCACTGCGTCATTACGTCACGTCTGTAAACATAAAGAAGTTGTCCAGGCTAGTAGGCTATCGCATGTGAGGATCCTGCAAGTGGCCGATCGTTTATAGCCTTTTCTCACAGCAGCCAGAATAATTAAATGTATCATTTTGATGGCGGATTGTAATCCAGAAAGGATTGTGTTTATGAAACACATGTGAATGAAATTAAATTATATTCCAGTTATAAATGTGCTTCTGATTACAGATAGCCTGGGATTACAAAGATTTGTATTTTAAAGAAAACCAGTTCGAAGGGAGCATAATTTGCTTTTTGGGTTAAAATAATTTCTTAAAGGGGTCATATGATGCTATTTTAAAGATCATTATTTGGTGTAACAAAATATGTTGACATGCTTTAATGTTCAAAAAACACATTATTTTTCAAATACTGTACATTATTGTAGGTCCTCTATGCCCGCCTCTCAAACGCGTCGTTTTCAACAAAGCCCCATCCTTTGACAAGCGCAGTCTGCTCTGATTGGCCAGCTGACCCAGTGCATTGTGATTGGCCGAACACCACAAGCACGCATCGGAAATGTAACGTCCCTTACCATAATCGCGAGCTTCAGCTTTCAAAGTAAATATCAAGACAGTTAATAATGTCGTTAGTTTTACCATCAGTTCAAGCCCGAAAGGGCAACAGAGTCGTGTGACAGACACCGTGATGATGCAGTACACAAGCTGCGGTTAAGAC